AAATACATATATATACATATATATATATATATATATATATATATATATATATATATATCAACAGCTCTGAAATCTGACCAAACTGAATGAGAACAAAGCATTATTATAGCTTAAAAGTTTATTACGGGCGATAGATGAAATATGTTAAATAAATAACAGAACTCTGAAATTTTACTTATACATTTATTTTATATTTTTTATTTCGTAAATATTTTCTGAAAAAATTAGCAACATCCTATACTGTCGGCAACTCATTTGCATTGTCCGAAGTTGTCGTTGCCGTGATTAGATCTATTAAAGGGAAAGACTTTAAAGATGAAACAAACTTTCGAAAAAACAATAACTACCTTGAGCTAATTATGACAAGAAATTATCATTACATATATTTCTTTATTTATTTACTCTTTATTCTCTATATTATATTTTCTCTCTCCTTTTTTCCTGTATTTCTTCTTCGGATTTGTTAAATTGCACACAAAATTTACGGGTAAATCTGTACATAGAGATTATTTGTGTCTTTACCCATTAAAATTAAAGTTTTATTATATATATATATATAATATAATAATAATAATTTTAGTATAAAATGATATATTTTATCATGTAAATATTATCTATGCATGTTATTTCGGTTGAATTGGTCTCAAGGTCGGTCATCTTCTTGTTCTGTTTTCTTTTGTTCTCTCCGAGAATGCGATCCACTTCAATGGGTTGTTGACCTGCAGAAGATACTCTTCCGCTCAAGTAAGATATGTTTCATAAAGAGGTCTATATTTTATTAGGATAGAAAATATGGGTTGTTGATCTGCAGAAGATACTCCGACGTTCAAGTAAGATATGTTTCATAAAAAGGTCTATATTTTATTAGGATAGAAAATGATGATCGTACCTTAACATCAATTGTATATTTATAGGACTTGTGACAACTAAGTCCATTGATTAGTGTAATATACTTTTAGGTAATCAAACCCAATAATCAATTATTAATATCGTATATTTGTAAGACAATCTGACCTGTTAATATTTGATAATTGTTCATGAATGACCATTAAGGTATATTTTATATAGTACATATATTTTAATAATGTGTTAGTTTATAATTATTAAAAAATATCATAAATAATTAGTTTTTAAGGCACTCATTCAATGCCTTAAATTTATCTAATTCAATTAATTAGATTGTATTGGATTATAAAAATAAAAATACAATCTAACCATTAAATTAAATTATGTTTGACCTACATCTAATAATGAAAAATGTAAAACCCGATCCAACGTGGGCCAGTCTATGAATACGCTATGCAGCAAAGCAAAAGAAAACTCAATTTTTTCTCTCCTCAATAAACCAGACACAACAACACCATGAAACATGAAAAACAACGAAGGTCCTATTGAATTATTAAGGTGGTTGAACTTAACAATTTTTTTTCATAAAATCAGATGCATAACATTATTTATATAAGTTTGATAATTTGTATAGAGAATGTTATTATTTATTTTTATATTTTAAAAAAGAGATTCGTTACAAGATCTAAAATTTAAAAGAAACACTCATTTTAATAATAATAAAATTAGAATAACTTTATGAATTAAAATTACAACTGTATATTATAAAACCATCTCAAGTTATCAACAAGTTAAAGCAAGACGATAAGTTTAACTAAAATAAGCAATCCATTTAAGCAACTACATATTATAGAAAAATCTGAAGTCATTAACAAATTAATGCAATATAAGTTGAATGGTCAACCAAATAGGGACAAATTGAGCATAAAAAATGGTAATCAACATATGGTTCACTGCCTGGGAATACTTTTTGCACTTTCATAGCTGAAATAAAGTTTTTAATTTTTTTAAAGCTATTTTATCAGTAAAAGATCCGCATGCATGACAACCATTGGAATATGCTTTTACACAGATAAATTTGATATCCTCAAAGATTTCATTCTTTCTTCTTCCTCATTTATGTATTTCAAAGTTCAAATTTTACATCTTTAAAGATGAAAATAATTTATTAATGTTCTCATATAATTCAATATTTCTTTTTACATTTATACTCAAATTCTTAGTATACTATACTCAAATTTTTACATTTATCATAATTAAAAAATTAATTATTTGCTTCATTGAAATTAATATAAATATAAAAAAATATGTATTCTAAATTAATATAGTAAAATATGACTAAGAATACTAACAATAATGCTGTCAATGTGGGTTATATTCCATGAGCGAACCTGACAAACTACGAGTTTGAGTCGGGTTGGGTTTGAAAAAAATGTAATTTTTTTTATGCAGGTTAGTTTTCAACCCAGCTCATTTAGAACCCGGGTCATACGGATTGAACCCGTGGTTAGCCGATTGGCTTACCAACCCACCTAATTTAATATAATTATTTATTATTTTGTGTTTTAATATTATTAGTTAGCATTATTTTTATTATATTGAAGATGGGATAAAAAGAAATATGTTTCAAGAGAGAAATATTACAGATTTATCTATTCAAGAATCTAATATTATAAATGAACAAGTGACATAAAAATTATCAATATTAAAAACTTATTTGTTCATTTTTTTATACTTGTTTTTGGATTACGCTTGAATCGTATGATATTTTTTTTTATTTTGAATTATCTTTGAAGTTTAAAATCATTTTAGAGTGAAATTTATTTAGATTTGAATTAAAAAAATTATAATTTTTTTATTTAAAGAAAAGGTTTAATAGCCAATTTTGTTTCCAGTTTCATTGACAAATCTCAATTTAGTCCCTCATTTTAAAAGTGTTTGAAATGGGTCATCATTTATTAAATTTTGCATCAACGTCGTCCCTTCCGTTAAATAGAGACAAACAACGTTAATGGATTGATGATTTGGCAGCATATAGTGCTTACGTGTCAAGCTGTAGCGGGAAGGAGTTTATTAACTCTATCTTCATTTACCTGCAGAG